ACCAACCAGCCATAGAAAACAACGCACACGTTCTGGTGCCATTACCGTCCTTACTCGGTCATAGAAGCTTACTAATTGTTGTCTCGGGGTTTGACTCTTAGTTAACAGAGCGTAAGCCGAGCTAACCGAGAATGCTCCATCCGCAGTTCCCCTCCATGACAATCTGTCCTTTGCACCTGTAAAAACATCAACCACAACAGCCGCAAGATGTAAGTGAACATAACCAGGTAGGAAAGGCATAATTCTTCTGAGATCCCAGCCCACATCAACGATCCAGACCTCAGCAGCCGTAACAGATTCATAGCCAATCGGTAAAGGTCTTATTGCCAACTCTTCAAGGGGTCTATCCATTATCCATTTATCTTTCCAGAATCTGATCCGCCTGCCATCCCCAATAACCCAAGTGATACCCAACGGGATCGCCTCACGCAGTACCACAACAATACTACGCCACGTAGACGACCAAGTCCCTTTCACAGCCAGCCAGGAACTATCAAGAACTTCCCCCACTTTATATTTGCCTCTGAGAACACATGTCCATAGACTATCTTTATCATGTAACAACCTCCAGTCAACTTTAGCTAAAAGAGAAATATTCATCTCCTTAGTTAATCTGATACCAAGCCCTCCTTCTTGCTTAGCCTGACAAACTCTATCCCAAGCCACAAGATGTTGTTTTCTCTTTTCTTCTGAGCTACCCCATAAAAAATTCCTTGAGATCTTGTCCAACAGATTTACCGTAGCAGTGGGAAGCATAATCGTGGTCATAGAATAAACAAGGAGGGATGAGAGAACAGCCTTCGTAAGAGTAAGACGTCCTGCAAAACTTAAGAACCTTCCTTTCCATCCCGACAATCTGGAATTAACTCTTTCCACAACTTCACCAAAAGTCTCTTTGTTTATGCGTTTATGTAGCACCGCCATTCCCAAGTATTTACCAAGCTCTTTAGTCGCTTTAATACCACTCTCTGCACTTATTGACGCCTCCAAATCTCTACTAACATTCTTGGAGAAGAAAATTTTGGACTTATCCAATCTAACCTTCTGTCCTGAGGCTGCACAAAAGGTTTCCAGCACTCGCCTAATAATGTGGATCTGTGCCACTGATGCCTCAGCAAAGAGAATAAGATCATCAGCAAAACACATATGCGACAGATGAGGCCCTCTTTTGAGACAACTTAATCGGTTTCCATTCTTTAGAAGCAATGGACAACTCAATCTGATGGCATAGTCTTTCCATGCAGAGAACAAAGAGGTATGGAGACAACGGATCACCTTGTCGGAGACCCCTAGCGGGTTTAAATGCCTTAGTCTGTTCCCCGTTCCACAAGATATTCATAGAAGGCTCAGTTACACACTTCATTATCCAATTTCTCCAAGTCTCTGGTAACCCTGCAGCAATGAGAGTATCCTCAAGGAAATCCCACCTAACCCGATCATAAGCTTTCTCCAAATCAAGTTTCAACAGCATCCAGCCTTTCTTCCCTTGCTTCCTCCTCATCGAGTGTACTGCCTCCTGCACTATGACCACATTATCCGCACTTAATCTCCCTGGGATAAAACTGGTCTGAGCTGGGCCTATGAGCTTGGTTATTACTTTTTTCAGCCTCACCATCATAGTTTTAGTAATAGTTTTAAACAAAACATTACATAAACTTATAGGTCTGAATTGTGTGATTTTCTCCGGCTTCAAGACCTTTGGGATTAGGACAACAAGAGCATCGTTTGTCTCAGCTGGCAACAGCCCTGACTCAAAGAAATCCAGCACAAAACGAGTGACCGACGCACCGACCTCTCCCCAACATTGTTGGTAAAAAATTGGCTCATTTTTCTCCCCAGGGCCTGACGGATTTCAGCCAATTTTTTCCCTTTTTAAATTATTTTTTCTTTTTGTTTTTCCTGAAATATGATTTAGTAACGTTGAATCTTTACTAAGTAAAAGAAACCAATTTATATATGGTCAAAAACTTATCATGATGTTAAGAGAAACTATTTTACATATTATTTACATGATTTTAATCACGATGTTTAACTATAAATGTTTTAATGCCAAGAATATGATGTTTCATAAGCTTTGAAGATTAGCTTACACTTCTTGAAATCCCTAATTATTATATTAAAAATATGAAAAAATACATTTCATAAAGGAAGAACTTATCTCTTTTGAGTAAATTCTTATATGCTCAAAAATTTCTTAATTGCAATTCGGTGCAAGAAGTTGTTTGATCTCGAAGGTAAAATCTCATAATATAATTATTATACATCTCTTGATCATGTACTCCTAGGTAATGTCCCGCGCATGCGCAGGTTGTTGTATATTAAGTTAATAGTTTAAATTTATTTAATAATTATAAAGAAATAGAATAAATAATTTTAATATCAATGATATTTTTTTCACTTTATTTATTTAAATCATATATACAATAGAAGCATACATCGATATCTATTGAATTTAGTCGTTGATTTATTGTTCAATTTTTATAGTAATTTTCTCTAGTACTTTTGAGCATTTTTACGTAAAACAATAATATTGCTAATGATAAAAATATTAATTTACTATGATTTTAAATGTTTTTTTTTTCATATCAACTCACACATAACCTAAATTATTTAGTAATTAAATCTAAACTATGTTGAAAGTAACAAATTATATATTTCCTATAAAATCATATGAAGTGCAATCAAAAGATTTTGAGAAAATCCCAAAGAATAATTTTATTTTTAATCTCTTTTTATTTTCCTATTAATTTAAGTTATATCTCTAGGTTTAGTTATAATTTTTTATCCTTGTAGTATAATAGATTAAAAACTGAATATCAAAATTTGTTTAGATATAAAATCAAGTAAAAATCATAATGTTATTTATATTACTAAACTTTTAATCACAAGAAAAATATAATGATCATTATCTTTAAAAGAATGTCTTACAAATTGGTTTGATAATTATATAAAAAAGTTCTTTTGCCAAAAAAATACATACTTTTTGAATAAAATAAATATACATGTATATTTAGCTTGATTTTCTTATTGTACGATAGTAAGGACAATATTTTTGAATCTCCGTTGATAAAATAATATTATTATAGCCATAAATTATTATTATACATTTGTATTATATACATTCAAAAATATAAGAAAAAATGGAGAAAGGAAGAAGTACATAAAAACCAAAGAAGATATAAATTTGGAAAAAGTAAAATATAGTAAAACCAAATATATAATCAATCTCTTACAATGATATCTTAATTGAATCTTGAGAACCCCTTTTGGTGTACCCCTTTTTAAAAATACTCTTATTTTCTATCCATTTTTAAAAATACCCCTTTTCAAATATGAAAAATTATAAAGTTTTATATGGTTGATAAGGTACATCAATATCATCATTACTACTGGGAGACTAATCCAAATATTTATAAAGTTTTAAAAGATTTTAAACGGCATTTAGAAGTATTTTATAAGATTTTAAAAGGTTTACAAAGTTTTTATAAGGTTTTTGAATAATTTTTAAAAGGTTTTAAAAAGGTATTTATATGGTATTTATTAAATATATATATATATAAGTTTACATACATATAAAGAAAAATCTGTGTCTATAAATATAAGTTTACACATATTTTTTTCGATAAATTTAAAATTTATAGTGACTTTTTGATAAAAATAGAAAGATGGGTATTTTTAAAAAGTAGTATGGAAAATTGGTATTTTTGAAATTCCCCCTTGAATCTTCAAACCATGCAAGAAGCAAAGAACATTAAAGAAAAAACAAAGAAAATATTTAGTATATGAGATATGGTGGAGGATGATGTGAGAATGATTTTTATAGGCTATGAAGTGATGTAAGTTACATTTCTAAAATAATTGAATTAGATGAGTTATATTATAATTTATTGTGTGTTAATTGAAATTGGATGGAAAAAACAAATAGTCAATTCACAATTTATGTAATTTCAGTTATAATTTTAGTAGTAAAATGTAGATTTAAAGTATGAATTAATATATATGATTAATTGTGTTGCAGTTTTGGTTTAATTAAAAATAAATATCAAATGGAGTAATAAAGAGAGAGTGAAACCTTACTTTTATATATACTACCAGTTGAACCGCGCTCCGCGCGCGGGAGGTTTATAATTTTGCTTCGTTGATTTTTTATTTATATTGTGATATTTTATTATTTTTTTTAATTAATTTTCAAAAAGTATTATAATTATTTTCTCTTTAATTATTATATTTCAATATTCAAATTTGGATTAAAAGCACTTGATTCAATTTATGAAATATCATTTTTTTTCTTTTTGATCATGTTATAAACTAATATTTCACTTTCATTTTTTTCCTCTTTATAATTTTATATATACAATTACATAAATGTTGTTTTAGTCTACCATAACCTTAAATTTTACTTCCATTCTAAAACTCAGTAACATATTTAAAATATTAAATTATGATCAATTTAAAATGAAAGTTGAATTATATTATTACCACCAATAAAAAATTAAAGTATTGTTTTTCTTATTTTAACATTTCATTTTTTTACATAATTTATTTTTATTTATATAAACTTTTTATTAATTAAATAAGTAACACAAATATACATTAAATGAATGTTTTTAATTTATTTTAATGTTTAAACAAAAATGTGGCTTAGGTGTATGTTTAGGTGACATCATGAGAAGAGAGAAAAAGTTTATATATATAGATTTAATCAAAGATTATATTGGTTCAGACTTCAGACGTTCAGTATAACTAAAAATTTGAGGCGACCCTCTCCATTTAATCCAGCCATTTTGTTTTTTTGTTATTCATTTATGCCAGCCATTTTGTTTAGCAAAATACTAAATCGTACCCATTTTTGTTTTTTTGTTATTCTTTAGGTTCAAGTAGTTTGGTTTATCTACTTTTATACGTGGACCAATGAACGTCTACTCAATAAAAGAAGCCACTAATTTTCTTTATTATTAAGTAATCAAACTTAAAAAAAAAATAGAAACAAACAAACCGAAAATTATGAGAAAGAGAGAATGACAGATGGATGAAGAAGATGAGGACGAGAGAGATATAGCTTCATCATTTGTCTTTCCGACCGCTTTTATCTCTTCCTAGTTTCTGTCTGAACATATTTTTTTTTTTGAATAATAAATTTAATTTTTTCTACTACCTCCGATCATCATCGACCTTGTTCATCTTCCTCCTGTAAGACTTTTTCTTTCTCCGTTTTTTTTTTGTCGGCTTAATCGAACTGTGTGTTTCCTAGGTTCCGATGTTGTAATTTTTTTTCGTCACTTGGAGAATATAGAATTTGATTTTTCTTTTATCATATTAAATCCTGTAATTGCTAATTATAGACAAAGATGAAACTCCGATGATCTTGATTAGAGTATGTTTGATTCTTGAATTTCGTATTTATTCGATTAGAGTATGTTACACTGAAACGAGAATTTGATAATCAACGATATGTTTATATTCAATTTCTCTGAATTAGTCTTTCTGTTTTGGTCGTAATTTGAGGTTACAGGCTAATGGAGGACTTAAAAACTCCTGAAGAAACTGTTAGTGGAGATATTGTTAGTGATGTTGCTGCAACATTAAACCCTGAGTTGATTGAATTGGCCAGTCAAGAATCTAACTTACGTTCAGTTTCAAAGGTTGATAATATTCCACAATCTCAAACTGATAATGAAGAGACTCAACTATCTCAAACTGATAGCTCAACTGGAAATGGCAATGCGAAAAATGTCGATGATACATTTTCTGCTTCTGATGCTGCAAGTTCTGCGGGGTTAACGGAAAAAGATACATTGAATGCAACGATCGTAGAAGAAGTGTCAGAGTTAAATGAGATTGGTTTACCTAGTGTTAAGATTACTGAGGCTGTGGTGGGTACATCAAGAAATGGTGGGTCACGGATGAGCGCTGTGGAGCCGAAAAATGTGGACGCACATAGAGGTTTAATCGATACCGCTGCGCCTTTCGAATCTGTTAAAGAAGCTGTCTCAAAATTTGGAGGAATTACAGACTGGAAATCTCACCGAATGCAAGCAGTAGAGGTATTCTACTAAAGGTTATTTCTTGTTTTGTTGCCTTTCTTGTTGATATGTTTTTGTGTATGTTTCTGTTTCTGCAGAGGCGCAAGCTTATAGAAGAAGAGCTTAAAAAGATCCATGATGAGATTCCTGAGTACAAAACACATTCGGAAACCGCTGAGGCTGCGAAACTAAAAGTGCTTAAAGAGCTAGAAAGCACAAAGAGACTGATTGAACAGTTGAAACTTAATTTGGAGAAGGCGGAAACAGAAGAACAACAGGCGAAGCAGGACTCAGAGCTTGCTAAGCTAAGGGTTGAGGAGATGGAACAAGGAATAGCTGAAGATGCCAGTGTTGCAGCTAAAGCGCAGCTTGAGGTGGCCAAGGCGAGGCATACGAGAGCCATTACAGAGTTGTCGTCTGTCAAGGATGAGCTAGAAACTCTGCACAAGGAATATGATGCGCTGGTGCAAGATAAAGATTTGGTTATAAAGAAAGTAGAAGAAGCAATGTTGGCATCAAAAGAAGTTGAGAAGACAGTTGAAGAACTCACCATAGAGCTGATAGCTACAAAAGAGTCACTGGAATCAGCACATGCTTCTCATTTAGAGGCGGAAGAACAGAGGATTGGAGCAGCCATGGCCAGAGACCAGGATACTCACCGTTGGGAGAAGGAACTGAAGCAAGCGGAAGAAGAACTTCAAAAACTTAACCAACAGATAAATTCTTCAAAGGACCTAAAATCAAAGCTTGACACTGCTTCAGCGCTGCTTCTTGATTTGAAGGCAGAATTGGTAGCTTATATGGAATCAAAGCTAAAACAGGAAGCGTGTGACTCAACCACAAAGAGCGATGCTTCGACAGGAAACATGAGCCATCCTGATTTACATGCAGCTGTTGCCTCTGCAAAGAAGGAACTTGAAGAAGTCAATGTCAATATCGAAAAAGCAGCTGCTGAAGTGAATTGCTTGAAATTAGCCTCCTCTGCTTTACAACTGGAACTGGAGAAAGAAAAGTCTGCTCTTGCCTCAATCAAACAAAGAGAAGGAATGGCTTCCATAGCAGTTGCTTCTTTAGAGGCTGAAATTGACAGAACGAGATCGGAAATTGCTTTAGTTCAGTCAAAGGAGAAAGACGGGAGAGATAAAATGGTGGAGCTACCTAAGCAACTTCAGCAAGCAGCAGAAGAAGCTGATGAAGCAAAGTCGCTTGCTGAACTTGCTCGTGAGGAGCTACGAAAGGCGAAAGAAGATTCAGATCAAGCAAAAGCTGGAGCAAGTACAATGGAGAGCAGGCTATTTGCTGCTCAAAAGGAAATCGAGGCAGCTAAAGCTTCAGAGAGGCTGGCCTTAGCCGCAATCAAGGCTTTGGAGGAGAGTGAATCAACACTGAAAGCGAATGACATCCATTCTCCACTAAGCGTTACACTTTCCTTAGAAGAGTACTATGAGCTCAGCAAACGCGCTCACGAGGCAGAAGAACTGGCAAACGCTAGAGTAGCAGCAGCGGTTTCAAGGATCGAGGAAGCTAAAGAAACAGAAATGAGAAGCTTGGAGAAGTTGGAAGAGGTAAACAGAGACATGGATGCGAGAAAGAAGGCTTTAAAAGAAGCAACTGAAAAGGCTGAGAAGGCTAAAGAAGGGAAGTTGGGGGTGGAACAGGAGCTCAGGAAATGGAGGGCAGAGCATGAACAGAAGAGAAAGGCTGGTGATGGAGTAAACACTGAGAAAAGCCAAAAAGGTAGCTTTGAAGGAGGAAAGGAGCTAAGTAAGTTGGAACAATCACCTGAAACTGTTGCTTATGCCTCCAGCCCAAGTGACTCATATGGAACAGAAGATAACTCTGAAACCAATCAATCCCCACAGACCAAATCTGGAAAGAAAAAGAAGAAGCTTTCTTTTCCCCGGTTTTTTATGTTCTTGTCAAAGAAGAAGTCACATAATTAACTTCAGTAGCTATTCATACATCTAACTCTATTTTTCTATCTCATCTGTTGGAGCTTTGATTCCAGAAAGAACTTCACTCGAACATGTATTTGTGATGTAAATGGTGTTTTCTTTTTTCTTTTTCTTGCATTGTAATTCAAGTCTTCCTTTTATGCTTTTAAAACAAGATAGTTTTTGAGAAATGCTCATTTGATGTCATATACTATAAGGTTTTACAGGGTACTAGGTTAGCGCACGTATATTTATATCTTACACGAAAAATACATGGTTTATTTTTTTTTTGGACGTTTAAACCTGAACTTTTTGTTTTTGAAGAAAAATACATATACTAATTAACATTTCTAATTTAAATCCTAAACAAATACAATGTTGTTATTTTCATGCTCACGATCTCAAACAATAATATAATTCGAATTTTATCCTTACCAGCTGAATTAATGTTTAAATGATATGGTGGTAACTTTTAAATGATATGGCAATAACTTTTATTTTTATTTGTTAAGAATTATATTTTAACTAAAAAGAAATTTTTTGAAATTTTTTGTTTTACTATTATGATTAAACAATAAATATAAAATAAAAGAAAATCTAATCAATTTATGAAAATTAAAGAAAGTAAATAGAAAGAAAGTTTATAAATAAATCTTAGTTTTGCTTAAATTGAGAATTTTTGAGAAATACCCCTTTTGGTGTACCCCTGTTTAAAAATACTCCTCTTTTCTATTCATTTTCAAAAATACCCCTTTTCAAATATGAAAAATTATAAGCTTTTATATGGTTGATAAGGTAAATCAAGATCATCATTACTACTAGGAGACTAAATCCAAATATTTAGAAGGTTCTAAAAGGTTCTAAGCGGCATTTATATGGTTTTTATAAGGTTTTTAAAAGATTTACACAGTTTTTATAAGCTTTTTATATGATTTTTAAAAGGTATTTATACGGTACTTATGAAATATATATATAAATTTATACACATGTAAAGGTAATTTGTGTCTATAAATATAAGTTTATACATATTTTTTTGATAAATTTCAAATTTTATTGTGACTTTTTGATAAAATTAGAGAGAGGGGTATTTTTAAAAAGTGGTATTAGAAAATGGGTATTTTTGAAATTCAAATCAGTTATTTTAGGTTAAATTCAAATTCAAATCAATTATTCAAATCAGTTAACTTACAAAAATTTTAGGTTATTTCAAATCAGTTTTGGTTACAATTTTTTCCAATAACACTTGAGTAAAATTTTTTTTTTAGATTTCTGTAATATTTTTTATTTTTTATTTTCAAATAAATAATAATAGTAAAAATATATGAATACTAATTTTTTTTTGAGTTAAAATTAAATTTCATCAAGTAAAATTAGAAATTATTGCCACATGATTTAAACATCAATAATTAATTTAAATGGTAAGGTTAAAATTGGAATTTTATTTTTGTTTGAGAGCGTGAGTATGAAAATAACAACCGTTAATTAGTTCATGTATTTTTCTTCCAAAAAAAATGTTTAGATTTAAACTTGAGAATTTTTGAGAAATACCCCTTTTGGTGTACCTTTTTTAAAAATACCCATATTTTCTATCCATTTTCAAAAACACCCCTTTTCAAATATGAAAAATTATAAACTTTTATATGGTTAATAAGGTACATCGAGATCATCATTACTACAGGGAGACTAAATCCAAATATTTATAAGGTTTTAAAATGTTCTAAACGGCATTTATAATGTTTTTATAAGGTTTTTAAAAGGTTTACAAAGTTTTTATTAGGATTTTAAATGATTTTTAAAAGGTTTTTAAAAGGTATTTATACAGTATTAATGAAATATATATATAAATTTACACAGATATAAAGATAACTTGTGTCTATAAATATAAGTTTACACATATGCTTTTGATAAATTTCAAAATTTATAGTTTTTGATAAAATTAGAAAGAGGGGCATTTTTAAAAAGTAGTATTGGAAAGAGGTATTTTTAAAATTCCCCCTTTAAACTTCCAAAAAAATAATAAACCATGTATTTTTTTGGGTTTTTTCCCTTTTTAAATTAGTATATAATATGCAACAGTAATGTTTTATCTTTGATTCTTTCAAGACATATATACTTTCTTATATATTTAAATATCATATATCTTTTTCACAAAGATATTTTTGATAAAACTAAATAAAAATCGTATACGGATAATGAAAAGAAAAACCTTGTTACTTGAATTGCTCGTTGTGGTCGTCTTTGTCTTCTTGCCATAACCATTTTGGACAAAATCTCTTTAAGATACTCACAATATTCTCTACGTTGTTCGATACATAAACACATCGATTTTATCACTCTTCTTTTCTTTTATCTTTTTTTTTCTTTAAGATACTCACAATATTCTCTACGTTGTTCGATACATAAACACATCGATTTTATCACTCTTCTTTTCTTTTATCTTAATACTAAAAATATCTCCTTCAACTTCTCATTGCTTCTTTCCTCTTATCTTGCATGACTTTCAAACTTCTTCTCCACCTATTCTTTCTTTTTCTTCATCTCTACCACACACTTTTTCGCCATTAAAAGCATTTTTGTCAAATAATTAACCACCCTTTTCCACATATTTTTTGTGCTTCTCCTCAAGTTTTTCAGACAAGGATTATTATCACTTTTATCTTGTTGAATTCACTTTCTCTGATCTCTTTGATCATACTTCGTTACGTTTAGATTTGTGACTCGAGCAATTGTTCCTATAAATACTTAGCTTCTAACTCTCCTTCTCTGTAACACTTGTTCTTTACTTATCAATCAAGCTTTCTATCTCCTCTCTTTTCATCTTTACTTCATCACGTAAACTCTCTACTGTTTTCTCCATATCTATAATCTTTGATGCAACATTTTTACCGGTATCTTGCATTCTCTTCGCTTACTCTTCCAATATCTCCCAGGCGTAGTTGTAATCATCTATTAGCTTATTGATTATAGCTTTTCCGAATAAACGATTGACCTGTTTGTGCTCTCGGTTCAGCGTCTTGTACGCAGCTTCTCCGCTTAACAACACTTTTTGAATACCTTTGATCTAATAGAAAGTTTTTATAAGGACTTAAGAAGCGGTCATGATTTAGGGGTTTACTTTCTTTTTTTTACGATTTCCAGTAACACACAAAAGAAAAAAAAATTAAATTTTTAAAAGACACGACTCGCCATTATCACAACTAGTATTCACAAAATTTACCTTTATTTGGTGTAAGAAATATAATTAATCGATGGCTAACATTTATATTCAATGATAACAAAAAAAATTATATTCATTATTATATACGAAGATTGGAAGTTTCATATATTCCATTTATTATTTTCAAAAGTTTATATTTCTATTTTTCCTATATATATTTTATTCGTTTTTATTAATATATTTGTATATAAATTTTAGAATTTAAAATTTTTAATTAATGAGATAGAAAACATGTTAATCAGTGAGATGGCTAACAACGATTGGTCGTTTCAAATCCTATGTGGATATCTTTAGGAACTTGTAATTTCAACTTTTATATAGTAAAGACTAGATCATTATTTTATTGATATTTTTTAGATTTTTTTAAACTTAATAATCATTTAAATAGATAGATATTAACATGTAGTATGCAAAAATATAATAACATTTTAGTCCTGTCTTGAAAATGTTCTTCTCACAAGGATTCCATTAAACCTTGCAGTGTTATCAAGTTTGACATCTCTTAAGCGTTTGACACTGTCCAGTGGCCTTTTATTGTATCTTTTTTTAAGGCGTTCCGGATTTTTTACTAACTGGATTTACGCTTGTATCTCGACGGTCTCTTTCTCTGTGGTGCTTAATGGTGAGCTAGAGGTTTTTTTTGGGAGCAGTAGAGGTATAAGTAAAAGGTGACTCTCTCTCTCCTTATATATTTAGGATGGTGCAAAATGTTCTGTCCCGACTTCTAGATAGTGCGGCTTTGTCAAAAAGGATCGGACGTCACAATCGCTATGAGCAAGTTCCGGTCACCCATTTATCCTTTGTAGATGATATTTTCGTATTCACAAATGGGTCTCCTTCTTCTTTAGGGGAGATCATGTCTATTTTGCTGGATTACTCGCGGACTTCGAGGCTACTTGTTAATATGAATGAGTCAGCAAACTATGTGGGAGGTCGGGGTAACGAAAACATGGTTATGGTTGCTGCTTTTGGTATTCCAGTGGATACTATCCCTATTTGGTATCTATGGTTACCCTTAACTTTTAACTCAATGACTGCTCATGACTATTGTAATGCTTGTGTCCCAATTTTTGGTGGTTTGGGCGATCTGGGCTTAACTATTGGTTTGAGGGAGTCGGTTTAGAAGAAACCCTAAAACTCGACTTAAACAGGTAGTCAGTCGTTCTCTATTCATTTGGGAGTTTGGTCGCTTTGTGAAAAGGGGAGAGAAAAAATAGAGAGTGGGAAATTCATCCTAAGGTGCTAAGGTGAGGCTTGTGAAGGATTTTCTAAAGGTTTGAAGGGCTGTTCTTGGGTGTTCTATCAAGGAAATGGATGAGTTAGTGGTTGTTGGGGTGGGAAGGGGTTGCTGTGGTGTATTCCTGGTTGTTTCCCTTCTTCCTTTCAACCCAAATCAAGGTGAGAGAGTGACCATTGCTTATCTAAGCGTTAAGATTGTGTGATTTGTGTTTATGTGATGTGTGGATTGATTTCCTTTGTGATTTTTGATGTTTTATTGTGTTTATATGGCTGTTCTCTAGTTTTGTCGACGTGAGAGACGATGTGGTGGTGTTTTTAGGGTTCTGTAGTGGATGATTGATGTGTCTGGATTTTAGAAATTTTAACTCTGGTTTTATGCATCGTTTATGTCATTTTAGGTATCATCGCTCGTTCGTTTACGCATATTCTCGTTGTTTTATTTCACTTGTAGACTACAGGGTTTGCATTTGCATGCATTGTAGTTTTCATTGTCCAAACAGATTGTTTCTCAAAGGAAAAATAAGCAAAATGGAGCCAACCAATCGAGTGATTATCTTGCACCTGATCATGCCGTTCGACCAGACCAACCGAGTGTGCCGTTCGACCAGACCAACCGAGTGCACAACCGAGCATTATGATCGAACACCAGCAACCGACCAAGTGATTATCTTAC